CCTGCCGATGCAGGGGACACGGGTTCGTGCCCCGGTCCAGGAGGATCCCACATGCCGCGGAGCAGCTGGGCCCGTGAGCCATGGCCGCTGAGCCTGCGCGTCCGGAGCCTGTGCTCCGCAACGGGAGAGGCCACAGCAGTGAGAGGCCCGCAAAAAAAAAAAAAAAACTCATCAAACGCTGCACTTAAGATTTGTGCATTTCACTGTTTGCAAATCTTACCTAAAAAATCATACACACACAAATAAATATTGAACTCCAGTTCATAATACTCATGCTGAAGTGTTTATGGGTAAAGTATTCTAATTCTGCAACTTGTTTTAAAATAAGATTTCTTAAAAAAAAAAAATTATGGATGGATAGACAGATAAATATGTGATAAAACAAATACAGCAAAACATTAATTGTAGAATGTAGGTGGTAGGCATATGAATGTTTACTATAAATTCTTTCGTTCCTATACATTTGAAGGATTTCTTAATCTTTGTAACAGAGGTGAATTCACACTCATGAAAGATCTACTAACAAAGTGTAAGTCTAATGATACATCCATTTTAGTTTAAATTGTTTGGGCTAACTTGGGTGGTATTTTTATTTTTATTTATTTATTTACTTTGCTTTCTACTATTTACAAAGGAATTGAAAACTAAAAATAAATTATATAAATTCACATTATAGCTGCTACTTTTAATGAAACAACTTTAAGAAGATACATTAAAAAATACGGAACCAATTTCTCAAAATTATATACAAGATCTAGCATGACCGCTAATGTTTAATTAGGTTGCATATTTTAAGAATTTACTCTTTTGTATTTGTTAAGTATTGCAACCATATTTCATCTAATTATTTTTAACTATTTACAATCAAAGTCACCATCAAATATTTAATTGATTTTGAGAATTTGTGAATCTTAACATTTGAAAAAAATAAATATATTATGAAATTTAGACATGGTACATTTGGCATCTATTATATCACCTAAAGAAATGTATTTCAATTATGCCTCATCAAAAAAATTTACCTCTATAGTATTGAATTCTTTGTTTCATGGCACACACAAAGAGTACACAAATCAGTACAATGTACTACCATGTATTTAAAAGAACATGTATTAACAACGCATTTAACCACTATCATCTACAGTATATATTAATTACAATTTACCACACTTAATTATTTAAACATATCCATTTAAAACTTGACATTACTCTAAAAGAAGGCACATGGAAAATAATTCATATTTCAAACATTTTCATGTAAGTAAAGAGGCAATAGGGTAGAGTGAATCTTTCAAAAATAAAATAACACCAAGTTGATGTCGCATTATACAAAAAAGGAAAATATTTAATTTGAATATTTTAAGAAATCTGGCATTTGTTAGAAATGAAAGAGCTCATTAACTTTTTCAGAATGCCATTATAAATCATACCTAGGTTTATAAAATCATAACTTGTAAAAAAAAAACAAACATCCATTTAAGTTCAAATGCATAAGAAAAGACAGAAGGTGGCAAGAATAACTAGGCACTATCTAAATTTCTAATATATTGGATGAAATAGTATTTCTACAGAACCAAGTGTACATTTTAAAAATAAAAACACTCTTTCCTATGTTTTTCCAGCATTACATTTCGTAAGTAAACTCACGGCCCCAAACAGTTCTCTATAGTAGGATGTCTGGTGGCTTCAGTTGTATTCCATTGGTACTAATAGAATTTGCCCTTATATATTCCCCTTAGTGAAACTTGTCCTAGGCAAAAACTGCTAATGTAAGTTGGTAAGTAGTCAAAAACTCAAAAAAGTCTCAATATAGAGAGAAAAAGAAAAAAGCTTTAGCTCATAATTTCCCTAAGATACTCTGCAAGATAATAATAAACAGCCTCTAAAAAGAGTTCAGTCATCAAACAAGTCTTCTTCACACAGAAATTCCCATAAACTATACTATGCTAATTATAATTGCATAGGTGGGGAGATGGAGCAATGAAAATGGAGCAGAACCACATTCACTTTAATTTTTGCAGATTAAAATTAAACAAGATTGACTCAGAAAAACTGCTGCAGTAAACTCACTGCAATGAGTGTAATTCTGTTGTTTAAAAATATGTAAAATAAGGTTTTTATTCTACTCAGTCCCTACATGCTAACAAGTCTGTCACATGACATAAGCAGCAAAACAACAATCTTGAACACTGCTGGAGAAAAACAGACTGTAGCAGACTATGTTTACACTATTTTCTGGGCAGCAAAAAAATTTTCAAGGGCAACTTTATATAGTATACATTTTTAGCTTCCACACTTACATTAGAATCTAACCACCAAAAAAGATGTATATTGCACTTTTTTGAACACATAACTTGGCTAAAAACATTTCACAGAATTAATGTTCCACAGAACACACCTAGAAAACTGATTTAGCTGTACAAAGTCAGCATTCAAATTGAACATTCATTAACAATTCTGAGTAGAACCATGCTAAGATTATAACATGAATTATATTTTGTATGGTAATTTGCTTTCAATCATTTCAAAAAGTTAAAGCTTACTACCTTAAAGATTTACTGGAATAATATTGTAAAAACATTACCTCAAATAAGAATTATAAGATTCATTAGACTGAAAGAAAAGTCACAGCACAGATTAAAGATGAAATTGTCAAAAGGCTATATCATACATTCAAGGCATTTTTATAATAAAATACTTAACTCTAACAGCAGATACAAAACGCCAATGAAATTAAGCAGTCAACAAGCTAAAACGGTACCATAAGAGTCCGTTTTATTTTTATTCTTTCTATTCCTATAGCCATAACCTAAATTTCAGATTTAATTTCCCCTCACTACAATGCCCACCCTGAAATGCTGCTATTATGACATTAAGTCAGAGCTCTAGTCATATGTCCCTAGTCAAAAGCCTTCCATGGCTTGCCATTATATATTCACGTTCGGTTCCTTAAAAACAGCATTTAATGTAATCCATAATGTGACACCAACCAGCTTCCAACTCCCAAATTGATAACCCTCAATTTACCTTCACCCATTCTTCAACAAAAATTTCTGAAAATCTAATATGATTTAGGCACCATGTTAGGTTTCAAAATACTCTATTCCAGTGGTTCTTTGAGTAGGTTTTTAGCTTGCATCAGAATCTCTAGAGAACTTATTAAAACAGATTGCTGTACTCTACCCCTCAAGTTGCTGATCCGAAAGGAATGGATTTACATATCTCACAAGTTCTCAAGAGATGCTGATGCTGCTGGTCAGGGTCTACTCTTGGTGAACCACTGCTCTACACCACAGGCCATGAGCTGAAAGCCCACTGGCTGAATGAGGCCCATTCACATGTTTCGTCTATTTACTATTTTAAATAATTTTAATTATTTGCAAAGGTTTTACAAATAAAAATTTCTCATAAAAATGCAGATTTCTGGCTCATTTCTGCATGTAAAAATACTGCTGGAGCTCAAGGGTAGCTACACCAGTTAGTCAAGGTATATGTCCTTGTCCAGATTATCACAGCTCTAACTGGCCCTCTCTATGCTCACTTAAAATCACTTAAAAATCACCTGGCTTAGCACTTATTTGTGCTTATACACTCTGACCCACCTTTTCCCATTCTCTATGCCTTTTTCATGCTGTTCACTCTGGCATAAACATCCTTTCTCCCCAATACGGCTGAAATCCTACCTACCCCCTTCTAAAGCTTGGCTTGAATATCCTTCCTCAACACAGTCCCAGCAAAAATAGAAATCCTTAAGTAATAAACATATTAAAGATTTAACATAAATGTCTATGTGTGCTTTAAGAATCAAGGTTTTATTTCCACAAATACTAAAATAGCAATATTTACAAAAACATAAAAGACTATAGATATCATAAATTATAAACATATAATTTTTGCTATTTTTATTCTAAATAAAATTTTAATTTTGTTCATTAAAGTTTTTACTCTGATTTTACTGTGAAAGAAATCTTTTTCAGACTAAGACACTGCAAATGAATTGACGTATTAAATCTTGTAGTCAAAATATATAACAGCTCCAACAGAATATCTTATTTTGCTGGACAAAAATAGGAGGAGGAGGAAGGGGGTAATTGACACAATGCCCCTGATTTCATAACCCACCAATTTTTAAAAGCAATTTTAATGAAATAAATGCTTCTAATTTTTTAACATGTAGGATATTTTTGTGGACTTTTACTTCTGTGGAATGGCAGGGGGAAAAAAAATTACAGAGAAACAAAAACTGAGTGCTGGTCATTGCTTTGCCATAAAGAGCTTTGTTACATCAAGTAAATCATTGAGTTCTCCCTGGACCTCGGTTTCATTACCTCAAAACTGAGGTGGGAAAAAGTGTTCTCCAAATACCTTCCATCCCTAAAATCCTAGGACTTACTCCGTCAAAGAATGAAAGCATAAAAATCAATGTCATACAGACAAGCTTCAATTAGGCTAGTATTGCTTCTAAATTAGATTGACTTAAAAACTTTGACCTACATACAGCTTTCAAAGTGCTAATTAAAAATGTTAAAGATTCAGAACTTTGAAAGAATACTTATGTATTTATATATGTTATTTATATATATGTTAATAATCAAAATAAAACATCTTTTGTAAGGCCAACAATTAAAACATCTTAGGAAAAAAATTAGAGGAAGACAAAAAAATTTATAACCATACCAATCAGCGTTTTAATATATATCAAAGGAAAATTAAATAATTAGAAAATCATGTCAAAAAAGCCTTTTTCATAATAGAAATTAACAATACTTTTTAAGAATATGTACTCTGGGACTTCCCCGGTGGTCCAGTGGTTAAGACTCTGTGCTTCCACTGCAGGGGGCGTGGGTTCGATCTCTGGTCAGGGAACTAAGATCATACATGCCGTGCGGCGTGGCCAAAAAAAAAAAAAAAAGAATATGTACTCTGCTTTAGGATATTCCCAAATGAAAGTAATTTGGCCAAAATTAAAATTATCGAATTGCAAGACTGCAAAAAAAATCTTAGAGACTATTATATTCAGATAGATCATGCCGTAAGCGAATTGCTTTCAGCTTCTCCACTTCAATTTTTGCTCTTAGCAGCTCTTCCTCTAGCTGCTGCCTTCTTTTCAATCCATCCCTCTTCTCCTGAACATATAATCCAAAATTTTTTTGATTTTCTAAAATTATCTGATGCTCCTCTTTCAGCATTTGCAGAATCTGAGGATCATACCCTAACTGTGACCTAAAATTTTCTCCACTTTCATGCCGAAAAAAATCATCTCTCCTTGGGATAGAAGATGGAGACGATGTCATTCTCATATCAACAGAGGAAAGTGACGGTGACAAAGATCTTTCCATAACATGTACTAATTCATGTTCTTCTCTTTGCTCTAAAGTATCACTCTGTTGAGAATTTAAAACCAGTGGAGGAGGGGGCTTAATGTCTTCTTCTTGCTTCACCTCCACTGTAATAGCAACTGGATGGTGGTCCAACATTACCTGTAGTGAACTTGTACCAGCCTGTGCTTCCTCATCCAAGTTTGCACTACAGCACACAAAAAAGCATTATAAAATGTAAATCAAATGAATATAAGAGCATTTTAAAGCATAATTTCATATTTAATATACATTATCAAGCTATAAAGAAAATTATGAAACAAAAAATATTTTTAACCCTTGCAATAATAAATTAAAGTGACTATGGTTGGGATTTTAATTATTTATTTATATATATATATGGCTCTCTCCATCCTTAACTTTAAAATTGGCCTCTTAAAAGAACAGGAACTTACAAATACTACACAAGGCTATTGAGGTAAATACAAAAGAAAAGGCATTTTTGATACTCTCAAAGAGATACCAATTGTCCCTATAAGCCTGAGGTTCTTAAATGGTGTAAAGTGTCATTTAATTCATTCTGGCCTTGCTATCCCGACACCTTAGTCCTAGACCTCCTGCTTCTCCTCTCCTGATCTAAAAATCACCAGGGTCTATGACTTCCAGTAGGACAATGGAAGGCAATCTCTGAGACGTATTGATTTCTCAATAATCACACACACACACACACACACACACACACACACACACACACACACACACACACACACACACA